AGGGATTGTATTTGAAAATAGTGTGTAGCAGATCTTTGGATGATGCAGACGGGCAAGCCAGACACATTTTCGTATTTTATGAAGTGTGTTTTAAAAGTTTATTCTATCCCAAGTGCCAGCCTTTTGTAATGGATTGGTGGATCGGTGAGTAAGTGACTGCCCAAATTTTCGAGGTTAGGTCAAAATTTCAGGCTAGAAGTTCGCTCAAAAGGAGAGTACGACTCCCTGATTACGAATATCACACCTCGGGTTCGGGGCGAAAACGTCTGGTTTCTGCTAGAGACTGATAAAATATTCGGGAGCGATGCCGCCCAAATTCGTTATTAATTGCCCTCGAATTCTTTGCACGGTTAGCTATACGCAAGCATGTTGGACTAGCGATGTTAGGAGTCTTCCTAGCTATCTTACTGCAAACGGCAAAAGAACAAACTCGCCAGGGAGTTGATCCCCTGACCTCTTTTTCGTGAGCCTCGACCACAGCCCCTGCGCTTTTCCTTCATAATTCCTTTCAGAGAGTTTAGCAGACAAGGAAATCGTATTTGAGCTCAGCGCTCCAAGGAGTGTGTCTACTCATCTGATCTCTGACATACGCATCTCGTTTCAATTGAACGGATTGACCGAACACCTTTCCTGGTAAGTAGTTGGCAGTGAATAGCAGGTAAACCCAGGACCACACATTAGCAGAATGAGGACATCAACTACAAATAATCGGTATTTCAAGAAATACACAATCAATCTGTATCTTCCCTCATCAGCTATTTATCTAGTCTCTCAAGCGCCAGTGTCGTTTCCATTCGTCCCCATCGCGGACCAGAGTGCTCCAGTGGATCCTCCTTGCTCGAGGGACACGAAGTCCATCATTCCTTTCGTTCAGAGCTTTCGTGAAGAAGTCTGACCATCGGGCCGGCGGTCGTCCAGGTGTTCGTTTGACGTCCCGAGGGATCCAGTCGGTAACCGGTAAGTCCAAAGGTCATTGCAAAATCACATCGTGAGCCCTGCTCACCTGATCTTGAGTGCTTAACAAAAACCATCAAAGAAAGCGGGTGGGCTTTGCGCTGAATCACTTCTTTCGGTTTTGATTTTGCATAGATCCTGTCGTTCTGTTTATTGAGCACCTGTTCCACAGTAAATATCTTTTCGTCGGTAAATAAAATTTCCCTATGACGGTTTCTTCGAAAACGACGTAACAACTGTTGAGAGCGGTCCTTTCTCTTCTTTTTGGCTTCATTACTCAGAAACTGGCCTTTCGATTGTTTGAAGGCTTTCTCGTGTAAGTGATCTATCACAATTCTTCGCACAGAACTTCGTGAAATGTTCATTTCTTTAGCCATTTTTCGTACAGAACGAGCTCCATTGCGACGCATCCTCTCGCCCACTTTCTTAATATTCGTCCTGGATGTAACCGTATTCTTCCTACCTCTACCTTTCCTATCAGCGATTGTTCCCAACTCCTCAAAGCGTCTGATGGTCGACCATACAAGTTGTTTTCTTACGTGGAGCCGTCTGCAGATGTCGCGTGCCAAAAGTCCTTGCAAATGCAAAGTGATGATTGGTTCACGATAGGCTGACGCTTTCATTTTTTCTAAAATTTGCCGAACTTTTAGCGCCAGTCGGAAGCAAATTGTCTAATCTCTACTATGTAATGCAAAAAACAGGTTGGGGATTCGAAAGATCGAAAAAAATCGATAAGCGCGCTCGCACGCGCGGTCCTCATAATTTTGGACCACCCTGTATTATGCAAAAGACCGTTCAGGAAAAGGCGCTTCCTGAAAGGCCTTCTCGGTGAGTGGATGTGGTGGATAGGGCTAGATTCTCTTCGACACCATGCTTTCTCAGATGTGTTCTTCATCCAGTGCTCTGCCACTCCTGTTGACCCATTGCGGACCTCCGCTATACTATGTGCATCTCATAAGTTTCTGTAGTCTGTTTTATCGATGACCAATAATCTACATAGCAGTAACTAATTTTAGTTTTTCTTTCTTATCCGAAAATATGTCATAATTTCTGTGCTCGGAAATTGATCGACGAAATTGTTATCACGATTAGAAAAATTGAAAATAAGTTGAAGGTAATGATGCTTCGTTTGTGTGGTGGCGTGTTGCGTATGAGGCGGAAGGACATCATGACGTCATCGGGCGTCTTCAGTGAAAGAGTATTGGTAGGTAGTCCCAGCCACTCCCTCCACGCTGATGGGTCTAGTCCACCAATGACGTCCATCGACGTCTCAAAACCGCTTCCCCTTCTGGTTATTATAACAATTGGCTGCAAGAATGTGAAGTATGTAGACAACAACCAACAGTGCGCAGATCGTGAGATGGTTGCAAAGGGCGTGCTGGGCTCACTTTTCGCACAGCAAAACAGTTCCGCAGTTTTCCACGGATGCGGTAGATTCCTTTCACAAAGAAAAGTAATGAGACATGTGGTTCTTTGTCGTATGAGATTTCATTTCCTTGATTACAATCCCACAGCATAGCTTCGATTTTTATGAGTTGCACTCCACGTCAATATCCTTCTTCAGATCACTTTACATTTATAAGGTCAATGACTTCAATTTTGCATTAAAAACCTGACTGTTTCAAAATAATGAGCTACAGAATAGTAAATATTAGCATCTAGAAGCAAAATAAGGAGAGAATGGAAAAATGGGCAATAGATCACCATAGCTTGGTTGACACACGTCTTGAAAAAATGCCAATTAAAACACCTGACAACGAGAACAGAATAAATTCCTTCCAAATGAACGAATGAGCTGGCCATGACGAATAAAGTCGATAAAGTGAACTGGACCTGAAATTTGCTCAAGAAGCTCTCAAAATCGTGTAGACTTATGAAACATTCCAAACAACACATGTTGAATTCTTTTGAATTAAGCAAGTGCGTGTCGGGCTAAACTTGTGGTCTGATATGCGAAAAAAATTCCATTTCACATTCTCACCAAATTTAACAGATAAAAGAAGAGACACGATAAGTGATCAACGAGTACCCGACAGGAGACCGTCGTGCGGCAAGAAGGCAGACTCAGCGGACGAGTTGCAGGGCGTACTGCAGTGTTTTCACGTCAAGTTGAGAAGAATGTACCACTATACGTCTTGGAGATGATTCAGAAATGAAGCGCGCAGAAGTGGTTATGAAAGACGGCGAAAATTTCCCAAACAGTTCAATCATATATCATGGATGGACAAAATGTTCGTAGTAGACCGTGCTAAATTTCAAGATTTTGGGTGCACCGTTCCATAATGCCGCGGAACTAGGTAGTGCGCGCAATAGCGTGCGCCCTAACCGGCTGAGTCATATAATGTTTGAATCTTAATTGTTTGCTCTATGGAAGGCTGTTTCTTGCTCTTACAAGGGAGGTCGTTCAGGGTGTGGGAAGCTTTTTCAAAACGGTTTTTTGCATGCATGCTAGTAGGGACTCTCACGTAGACCACAATACTGCGTTTCGTTTTCGCTGAGCGGCCCCCTGAAGGCCAAAAAATGGTCGAAAAAAATTCGTTAAGAAGGGGTGGTTTTTGCTGCCTTGGAGTGAAGTTTCGGACCTGTACAAACGACCACCTGCATTTTGAAGGGCGCCGATGAAGATAATATCGAAAACAACTCGAAATTCGCTCAAAATTGAAGCACTGTACGTGGTACTGCTGAAGAAAGTGTAGAGGTTTCATAGGCGTCGTCGGCACCCTACACATCGCAGCGAGCAGGTGGCCGAGCGGATAGCAGGTTGTTGTTTGCAAAATTGGACATGGCGGCTTGCGTACAGCCAGTGTTCTGTGGACTCGAATCCGCTCGCTGCCTGGGTTTTTTTGCATTTCTGATAATCACCTCCAAATTGACGCCAAATTGCTTCAGTCGTCGAAAATTAACGCTATATTCTCATTCAGGACCGTCAGTAGCCCTTGCAAATGGGTTTTCTACCAAAAATTGGGAAGAAAAAGTTCGCAGCGCCAAACTGGCGCCAAATGGCGCCGACGTCAAAAACGAACGCCATAATCGTGTACAGGACCCTGATCTACCCCCACATGCCAAATTTCAGGAAAAATCTAGGTTTTGACCTAACTTC